ATGCGTCAGCACCGACACCAACCCCTACGCCGACGCCGAACCGGACACCAATGCCGCCTACACCTGCATTCGACCCGCGGTCGAATGAACCCTGCCCCTGGAGTCTTATCCCACCCCGTGGGATAATGGGTGCGCCACCCACCCCTTCTATCCCCAACTCCGACCCCCCAACTCCGACGTCCAGCTCCGACGCCAGCACCACCGCGGGCGCCTCCGCCAGTGCAGACACCAGCACCGACACCAGCACCCATGCTTGTGCATGTGCCTTCACCGACGCCAACGCCTACACCAGCACCGACGCCAGCACCGACGCCAGCACCGACGCCGACGCCTAACCCGACACCATTGCCAACGCCTCGACCTGCATTCGACCCGCGGTCGAATAAACCTTGCTCCCAGGGTGTCATCCCACCCCGTGGGATAACGAGTGCGCCACCCATCACTTCTATCCCCAGCTCCGACTCCCCATCTCCGACGCCAGCACCACCGCCAGTGCCTACGCCAGAGCAGACGCCAGCACCGACACCAGCACCCACGCTTGTGCATATGCCTTCACCGACGCCAACGCCTACACTGGCACCGCCGCCAGACGTGCATTCGACCCGCGGTCGGATGAACCCTGCCCCCGGCGTCTTATCCCACCCCATGGGATAATGTGTGCGCAACCCATCACTTCTACCTTCAGCTCCGACTCCCCAGCTCCGACTCTCTAGCTCCGACGCCCAGCTCCGACGCCCGCACCACCACCGGCGACTACGCCAGCGCAGACGCCAGCACCGACACCAGCACCCACGCTTGTGCCTATGCCTTCACCGACGCCAACGTCTACACCAGCACAGACGCCAACACCGACGCCAGCACCAATGCCAACGCCTAACCCGACGTCGATGCCAGCGCCTAGACCTGCACTTGACCCGCGATCGAATAAACCCTGCTCCCAGCGTCTTATCCCACCACATGGGATAACGTGTGCGCCACCCACCACTTCTATCCCCAGTTCCGACTCCCCAGCTACGACGCCAGCGCCACCACCGGCGCCTACGCCAGCGCAGACGCCAGCGGCGCCCCTTCCACTACCACCACCCGTGCCGAGCAGTCGCACCTCCATTCCAGCTCCGACTCCTGCTCCGACGCTGGCCCCGACTCCAGCTCCTACCCCACCGACTCCGACCTCCCAACGGATGAATTCAATGCACGACCCTGGCGCAGGGAGTTGCGCTGCTGGGCCCATGGCGCACCGGTACCACTACCCGTGCCCGTCACCTTGCAGTTTTCACCCTGCATGGGGAGGGCTACTAACAATCTTCATCGTGGTTCCGATTGTCTTCATCAGCCGTAGCACCAGCAAGATGGGCAGGGAGATCTTGATACCGGTGCCGGGGTACGACAGTATGATGGCGATGGCGTGAGCCGCTCTCTTGCAGGCCCCCTCCTTTGCGTTCCTCTTCCTCCGTCCCCTCCTCGTTGCCTGGGTGCCCGGGCTCTCCCAGTTCTTAGTTAGTGGATCTGGCCTGGTTCTCCTGCGGGGCAGGTGATCCTTGCTTCCTAATACCCCTTTGTGTTTCACTTGTCCTCCTCCTCCTCCCCCTCCTCCTCTTCGCGTGGCGCTACACTGTCCTGCTCACCTTGTTGTGTCGACGACGGAGTGGACGCGGAAATCTGCAGTCCAGCTTCCCCGCTTCCCCGCCGAGGTAGGGTTCACTCTGGCGCGAAGAGGCGAATGGTGGTTCGACGTTCTTGGGATGTCAAAAAAAAAAAAAGTTGGCTCGCCGGAGCCGGCTGGGACGATGGTGGGACCGACGCTGTTTGGGCGCTCGGGGTCCTAGCGGGAGGTTGGTGTCTACTTCTATTCGGAAGGGCATGCTTCTCCTTGGGATGCTGGAACACGCGGAGACAGAAGGTGGATGGGGCAACCGAAGAGGGAGGGAAGGAGAAGGGAAGGAGGGGGAAAAGGAGAAAGGAAGACACAGGAGGAAAGGCGAGCCCGGGGCAGGGGGCACAAGACCAGGAGCGAAGGGGAAAGGGTGAAGGGCGGAAGGGGTCGCAGGACGACTTGCAATCCTGGGCAAACGCGTGGGAAGAGCATGCGAGGAAAGGGCGCCGCAACTCATCGAAGTGTCCCCGTTGAGACACAGTGGCGGTGCAGTGGCGCAGGCTAGCCAGACTTAGCTGGGCCGATGTGAGTAGCGTCTCCGATGAGGCGCTTATGGCCCTGGTAAAAAGCTGTTGCCTACTTGCGTTCGGACGTCCACGTCTCTAAAGGGTCATGCGACGCGCAGAGTGGTAGTGGAGCATAGCAGCAGGCTTCCCGAGGGGGGAGTTGGCGGGGAAGTAAGGTGCGGGGGGGAGGGGGATGGAGAGGAGGGGACAAGGGAAAAACGAAGACACAACAAGCAGAGAGCTGGGAGGGGGAAGCCCTAGGCGGGGAGGGTCGCCCGCGAGTCCCCAAAGTGTCTTCATTGAGACACACTGGCGGTGCAATGTAGCAGGCTAGCAGAAGCTGGCTGGGTGGGCAGGTACGAGACGACACCTACAGGGGCCGAGCGGTCCCCGGCAGAAGTGAAGGCGAGGCCCCTGGAGGAGCGGGGGCCGCTGCTCTCCAACATGTCCCCTTTGAAACACAATGGTGGTGCATTGTGGCAGGCTCGCCGGAGCCTGCTGGGACGATAGGGGGATCGACGCCGTTTAGGTGCTCGGGGTCCTAGCGGTAGGTTATTGTCTACTTCCATTTGGAAGGTCATGGCGCTCCAGGGGAACGAAACGCAATGCTGAGCACCCCATTGATGGAGCAATAGACCTTGCAGGGGAGAGCCCGCAACGCACCAAAGTATCTCCATTGAGACACAGTGGCGGTGCTGCACGTGGGCTGCTAGCCTAAGCTGGCTGAGGTCGGGGCTGCCCACTTGTCCCCGTGTGTGCCCTCAGACGGTGGCTGTGGGCTGGTGTCTAGCCACCTTGAAGGCAAAAGCAATTCCGCACCGAGCAGGTCGGGGCAATAGCACGGGGGGGGCCCTAGAAGAGAGGGGCGCCGCGACTCACCACAGTGTCCCCATTGAGACATAGTGGGGGTGCAGTTTAGCAGGCTAGCTGGGGCTAGCTGGGTTTTGAAGGCAACAGCAATTCAGCGTTTGCTTGCTGGCAGCCTACCGGCTTGCCAATGGAGGCCGGCGGGTAGCATTTGCTTGCGAAAAGGCCGTGTTGTGCTGGTATCGCCCAAGCACCCTGTCCCGTGAGGCGTTTGTGAGGGTGCTCTTCGGAAGTGTGGAATTCGCACTTCCTTACCAGCGCCCCGTGCGTCCCTCAAACATAAGCCGCGCAGGCTACGGATTGCCTTCGGCACGGGGAGGAGGAGGAGGAGGAGGAGGAAGAGGAGGAGGAGGAAGAGGAGGAGGAGGAGGAAGGGGGAGGAAAAGGGACAAATTGGGGGAGGAGGACTGGCACAGCAGGACAAGAGGAAGGAGTAACATCACAAATGGATGGCGAGAATGTTGAAGCGGAGGAGGAGGAGGAGGAGCAGGAGGAGGAGGAGGAGGCACTGGATAGGAGTGATGAGGAAGATGAACATGATGACCTTGAGGAAAAGGAAAAGGAGGAGGAGGAACAGGAGGTGGACGTGAGCGATGGCAGAGAGGAGGGAGGAGCCAGGAATGACGTGCGATGATGATGATGATGATGATGATGATGATGATGATGATGATGATGATGATGATGAGGATGATGATGATGATTATTATGCTGATGCTGATGCTGATGTTGATGATGATGATGATGATGAGGATGATGATGAATCAGGAGGAGGAGGATCAGGAGGAGGAGGAGGAGGAGGAGAAGCAGGTGGGGGATAGGAATGTTGTCGACCATGGCGTGAGCGATGTGTTGCTGAACATGATGGTAATGACGATGTTAATGACGGTGACGATGTTGATGACGATGACGATGACGATGACGATTACAACGACAATGATGTTGATGATGCTGATGATGATGACGACGGTGACGGCGATGACGCTGGTGATGACGCTGGTGATGACGCTGGTGATGATGATGGGGAGGAGGAGGAGGAGGAGGAGGAGGAGGAAAAGGACCAGTGTAAAACCAAGATTCATCAACGATCTTGCAATGAACCCTCCTTCCAAGGTTCTTTTTCACAGGTCCCTACAAGGGTCCATGTTCAATGTGTGTGGTGCCCATTTGGAAGACAATCATTTGAACATCTTGAACTGTTTCCACAACACCATTCCATGGACTTCGGCGCTTCGAATCATCGTTACTGTTGCGTCTTGGCGATCCTGAAGCGTGCCAAATCACCATTTCTGGGACTTCAACATCACGTATCAACGTAACCGCTGCGCCCTGACAATCGGGCTTGGTGCCAAAACACCAGTTTGGGGATGTCAACCATGTGAAGCCCTGAAACTGTTGTCAACTCTTGAACGCGCGCGGCGCTAAGGCGAGAACCACATTGTGGAAAAGAGCCGCCCTCCATGCGTGAATTTGTTGCAATTTTCGCTGACGATTATGCGCGGCGCCCAGGCGAGACCCACATTTTGAAAACGACCCGCCCTCCATCCGTGAAGCTGTTGCACACTTTTCAAGCGAATGTATGCGGCGCTCAGGCGAGTACCGCATTTGCAAATCGATCAGCATTCCATGCGTGAAGCTCCTGCAAACTTTGAAGACGAATGTGCGCGGCGGTGACGCGAGAGAGACCATCCGCCCTCCATCTGTGAAGCTGCTGCTGCCAATATCAAGCTTCAGGATCATAAATGGTGGGGTAGCTTCCGGCAAAAAGCACAGCACACCCTTCCGACCGGCGTCAGGGAGCGACAGGGAGGACTTGTTCACAAGGAGAATGAATGGAGGAGGAGTGGGGCTTGGAGAAGGTGGAGGAGGTGGAGGAGGATAAGGAGGAGATGGAGGCGGTGGAGGAGGAGGCTCAGGAAAAGGAGTAGGACAGGGCCAGGGGTGGGGCCACAGGCCTGCCCCCCTCCGACCGCGAGGAGCCGGCGGCCCCCGCACCGCTCCCCGACCACCACCGGATGCTGTGGGAGGCGGTGCTGCTGCTGGCGCTCTCCGCTCTGGTTGTGGCTCTGGCGCGCTGGACCGCCCTGTCGGACCCAGAGGTGTGGAAGGCCTGGGCTACATTGAGCTGCTGCTACTTCCGCTGCTGCTGCTGCTGCTCCTCCACCGCCATCCCTTTTCCTTGCAGAGTCCTCTTTCCTGTGGCGCCCCCCAGACGTGTCTGTAGGGCGGGTTGAGCGTTTCGCTTGAGACTTCCTCACCCTGTGTGACCCTGAAGCTGGAACATCGGAACAATTCCACGAGTGGACACTGGTCGTTGTCAAAATGGAACTCTCGCTTTAGCGCCGCGCACACTCGCTTCAATCAGTTGCAATAGTTACAAGGATGGAGCACAGGTCGTTTTCAAATGGAGCTCTCGCCTTAAGGACCCGCACGTTCGTTGTAAAAGTTCGCATCAATCTCAAGGACGAAGGCGGTTTTTCAAAACGTGGCTCTCGCCTCCGCGACGCGCGTATTCTGTGGAAAGGTTCGGAACACTTGACCACGATGGAGGACGTTTCTTTCTCTAAATGAGGCTCTCGTTCGAGACATCCATAGCTTTAGACTGGAGGCCTCAACATCTGTATCACCTGCACGAATGGCGCGCGGTTCCAACGTGGACAGTGTCTCCTTATTCCGCAGGTTCGTTCCGAGCCTCTTTTTGCTGTTGGGCCTCTCACGCTTCTTGCCTGCTGCCCCCGAGGACTCGCGAGAAATCGTGCCGCGCTGTTCTCGTTTTTAGCGTAACTCGGCGGGCGCTTATGGGTCTGCTGGCACTGCAGCTGCTCGTGCCAGTGCGAGTCACACCCCGCAGCACGAGCTCAGACACGCCGGCAAGCGAGGAGCTCCCGATTGCGGTGACGATGACGAAGCTCTAACATGTCCCCGCCTTGAAGATTCGCCCGCTTACCGTGTGAGTAGCCCTCGAACCGAGGCGGGGTATTCTCAAGTCACCTCGATGTGTGTGTGTGTGTGTGTGTGTGTGTGTGTGTGTGTGTGGGACCCCGCCGCCTAAGACTCGCTCTCAATGGGCGCCTGCTGCCCAGCCTTGCTACGAAGGCGGCTCTAGCTCCATCGCGCGGGCGTGACTGCTGCCGTGTGGCCGATAGTTCACAGTTGCCACGGGGATCGATGCGTCGCGCGGCCAGGGATCTCTTTGATGTGGTCGGGGCGGGTGGCCAGTGTGCTTGCCCGTGCCCGCCACAGGCGCCAAGAGGGCAGATTACAACGAGCACCACCCGTGTGTGTAGTCAGTCGGCGTTCTGAAGTGGCCCCCTTCACCCTGCAATGCAGCATTTTGCTTCCCCGATGTTGGCCTTGGTTGCCTGAAGAGCTTCGCCTGTTGCCGCTATCCCATCCAGCTGGTTGCCTGCGTGGCTGCGTGCCGGCGGCGGCACTTCAGGAACATGTGAGTTGCATGGTGTTTTGCCCGATGCGAGTCTTCCTCTTCATTCTTGACACGCTCAGCGCAATCCTATCTGAGCTCGTCCGTAAGGGCTTCGCCCTCTGCCGCCGGCCTCTCTCTATAATAATGGGATATATCAGAGTCGTGTCGGTGCGTCTCGGCGCTGCCTTTGCGCATCTGGGAACATCATGCGGGGGCGGATGGAATCACCAGCGCATATTGAGACGTTGGCGTTAGTCGAACACGCCTCCGGCGAATCACCGCCGCCCCCTGCCCTTTCGGAAGCGCCTATGTGGCCGAACGTTGTGGCCAGAGGCCTGCCAAGCTATCGGACTATGTGTTCCCCGAATCGGTTTGGAAAGCGTTCGGGGAACAAGTGGAGGAGGAAAACGAGAATGAGGAGAGGGATGAGACAGTAAGAAGAGAAGGAATATAATGATTGGATGGGAAAGGCAGGAGACATTCCTCTCCTGCCTTTTGGGAAGTGCTTCTGTGGCGAATTGTTGGGCCTGCCTTTTTTAGAAATGCCTGTGTGACCGAGAGTTGGGCTAAAGCTTGGCCAAGCTGTCGGACCATATGTTCCCCGAGACGGTTTGGAAAGCTTTCGGGGAATACGTGGGGGAGAATGAGCATGAAGAGGAAGAGGACGAGGCCTCTTGGGCCGTCTTGAGCCGTCGGAATGGCGAGAAGAAACAAGTGCCAACATCTTTAAAACACGTAGGGACAATTCATGATTTTGGTCTCTTCGGGCCCTCCTGGAGGACCTCTTGGAGTCCTCTTGGGCCGTCTTCGAGGCCTGTTGGGGGCCTCTTGGGTCGTCTTGGGCAGTCCGTCTTGGGGGCCTCTTGGGCCGTCTTGGAGTCATCTTAGGGGGCGAAGCTATCGGACCATGTGTTCCCCGAGTCGGTTTGGAAAGCCTTCGGGGAACACGTGGGGGAGGAAGAGGAAGAGGAGGAGAAGGAGGAAAGAGGAGAAGGGGGAGGATGCCTCTTCGGAGTCTCTTGAGGCACTCTTGGGCTCGATTGGGACATCTTGGGACCGTCTTGGAGGCCATGTTGGTGCTATCTTGGGCTCTCTTGGAGCCTCTTGAGGGCCTCTTGGGGCCTTTTTGGGACTTCTCGGGGGACTTTGGCCGTCATAGGACGTTCCTGGCCCGTCTGACGCCGTCGGGAGCCGTCTTGGGGGCATCTCTGAACCTGCTTGGGGCCCTCTTGGGGCGCTTCGGGGCCGTCTTGGAGGCCGTCTTGGGCGTTTTGGAGGCCTCTTGGCCCTTCTTGGGACTCTCTTGGGGCCGTCTTGGGAGCCTCTTGGGCCGTCATGGCGCCATCTTGGAGGCCTCGTGGACGGTCTTGGGGCGATCTTGGACGCCTCTTGGACCGACTTGGGCCGTCGGAATGCCGAGAAGAAGCAAATGCCCAAATCCTTCAAAAACCTAAGGAACTCTCATGGTTTTGGCCTCTTCGGGCCCTCTTGGAGGGCCTCTTGGAGACCTCTTGGGTCGGGTTGGGCCGTATTGGAGGCTTCTTGGGCGAATTTGGAGGTATTTTGGACTCTCTTGGGCCGTCGTGGAGGCCGTGTTGGACCATCTTGGGCGGACTTGGAGGCCATCTTGGACCAACGTGGCCATCTTGGAGGCCATCTTGAGCCGTCTTGGGGGATTTTTTTTGGGATTAGAATCCCTTTCGGGTTGCCGGCGGGACGGGCCGAAGCCCCAGGGGGAGTTCTTTTGGAAAAAGAACCAAAACTAAAACCGAAAGGGTCTAGCACGCCAGGCACCCCTGTGGCAACAACAGGGGGCGGCGGATCGAAGGCGCCTACGGCGAGTCACCGCCGCCCCCTGCCTTTGTGGAAGCGCCTATGTGGCCGAACATTGAGGCCAGACCTGCCAAGCTATCGGACCATGTGTTCCCCGAATCGGTTTGGAAAGCCTTCGGGGAACACGTGGGTATCTTGAACGTCATCTTGGCCGCCTGGAGGCCATTGTGACCCTTTCGGGCCTTCTTGGAGGACGTCTTGGAGGGCTCTTGGGCCGTCTTGGAGGCCATCTTGAGCGTCTTGGAGGCCTCTTCGGCCGTCTTGGGGGCCTCTTGGGGCCGTTCTGGGGCCATCTTGGAGACCTCTTTGGGGGCACTTGGGCCGTCTCGGGCCGTCGGAAGGCAGAAGAACATCAAATGCCACAATCCTTCAAACAACTCGTGGGAAATTAGTGATTTTGGTCTTTTCGGGCCTTCCTGGAGGCCCTCTTGGAGGCCTCTTGGGCCGTCTTGGGCCATCTTCGGCCGTCGTGGGCCCCCTGGCCCGTCCGACGCCGTCGGAAGCCGTTCTGGGGGCCTCTCTGAGCCGACTTGGGGCCCTCTCGGAATGCTCCACGGCCGTCTTGGAGGCCATATTGGGCCGGATCGTGGCCCCAGAGGACACATGTAGTGTAATTTGTAGGAAATCTTAGCCTCCGGGGCGTGAACATGGCGTATGTTAGGAAGGATAGTGGCTTGGGGGGCGCGAGTGTGGGGCAATTTGCAAGGGATCGTGGCTTCGGGGGCGCGAGCGTGGCGAAATTTATTGGGGATCGTGGCGTCGAAAACGCGAACGTGGCGGAATTTAGTTGCGATCGTGGCCCCAGAGACGTGAGTGTCGCGTAATTTGCGGGAGATCTTGGCCTCGTGGGCGCGAGTGTGGTGTATTTTGCACGGGATCGTGGTTTCGCGGACGCATATGTGGAGCAATTCGCAAAGGATCGTGGCTTTGGGGGCACGGGTACAATGTAATTTGCGAGGGGTCGTGGCTTCGGGAGCGCGAGTGTCAAGTATTTTTTCGTGCCCCGCGGCCCCGCAGGACCAGGGGTGGTAACTGGAGGTTTTGTAGCTCCTACTCGCGCGGGTTTCAGCAAGTTGCAGCAGGAAACAAAACACTGTATTGTAACATTGCTGGAAATTGGAATTTGTGCAGGGCAGTGTAACCTAAACCTCGCAGCCTGATGGCCTTATAAGGGTACTGGCGAATATTTTTATACACGCATGTACACATGTATACACTGAGCGAGGGATTGTAGCATCGATTGCGCGGGCCTATCTTTTTTTCTACCAGGGATCGTGGTCTCGAAGGCGCAGGCCGATACTTCTCTTACGGGGCATCGTGGCTTCAAAAGTGCGTGCCCATGTTGTTACCAAGGATCGTGTCGTCGAAGGTGCGGACAGGTTTTCGGCTGCTTTTGCAAGGGATCGTTGCTGCGAGTGTTTGGGCACACCGCTTTTTTGTTGAGGGATCGTGGCCTCGAAGGCGGGGATCATTGTTTTTCCAAGGGATTGTGGCCTGGAAGGCTCAGACCCCATGTTTTTGTATGAGGGATTGTTGCTTTGAAGGCTCAGGCCAATAGTTTGTTCATGAGAGTCGTGACCTCCAGGGTGCGTATGCATTGCCGTCGAAGTCGCGAGCCCATTTTTCCCAACCATTTTGTGGTGTTGGGTCCTCGTTTTGAAGAGACAGCGCCCCGCGTCTCCTCCTCCTCCTCCTCCTCTCCTCCTCCTCCTCCTCCTCCTCCTCCTCCTCCTCCCTTCTCCCATCCCTGCCTGTCTTCTCTGCGTGCCGTCATCACCATCACTATCGTCATCGTGATCACCATCGCCATCATCGGCGTCATCAACATTGTTATCGTCAGCGTCGTGACACACCCCTCACACGGTTCGCGGCCCCACAGGGAGCTCCACCGAAGGCCCCAGTGGCGTTGGTTGCATGCGTCACCGCCGCCCATTTTGGCACACCGCTCACACGTTTCGTGGCCCCACAGGGAGCTCCACCGAAGGCCCCAGTGACAGGGTCTGCATGGCGGCACCGCGCCATTTTGGCGCACCCCTCACACGGTTCGTGGCCCCACAGGGAGCTCCACCGAAGGCCCCATTGGCAGGGTCCACATGGCGGCGCCTCTCTCATTTCGGCGCACCCCTCACTCACACGGTTCGTGGCCTCATAGGGAGCTCCACCGAAGGCCCCACTGGCAGCGTCCACATGGCGGCGCCGCGCTCATTTCGGCGCACCCCTCAAACGGTTCGTGGCCCCAGAACGGAGCTCCACCGAAGGCCCCAGTGGCAGGGTCTGCATGGCGGCGCCGCCCCATTGTGGCGCACCCCTCTCACGGTTCGTGGCCCCATAGGGAGCTCCACCGAAGGCCCCATTGGCAGGGTCCACATGGCGGCGCCGCCCCATTTTGGGGCACCACTCGCACGGTTCGTGGCCCCATAGGGGGCTCCACCGAAGGCCCCAGTGGCAGGGTCATCTAGCGGCGCCGCGCCATTTTGGCGCACCCCTCACACGGTTCGTGGCCCCATAGGGAGCTCCACCGAAGGCCCCAGTGGCAGGGTCCGGCGCCGCCCCATTTTGGGGCACCACTCGCACGGTTCGTGGCCCCATAGGGAGTCTACCGAAGGCCTTAGTGGCAGGGTCCACATGGCGGCGCCGCCCCATTTTGGCGCACCCCTCACACGGTTCGTGGCCTCATAGGTAGCTCCACAGAATGCCCCAGTGGCAGGGTCATCTGGCGGCGCCGCCCCATTTTGGCGCACCCCTCACGCGGTTCATGGCTCCATAAGGAGCTCCACCGAAGGCCCCAGTGGCAGGGTCCGCATGTCGGCGCCGCTCCATTGTGGCGCACCCCTCACACGGTTCGTGGCCCCATAGGGAGCTCCACCGAAGGCCCCATTGGCGGGATCCGCATGCGGGCGCCGCCCCATTTTGGCACACCACTCTCACGATTCATGGCCCCATAGGGAGTCCACAGAAGGCCCCAGTGGCGGGGCCCACATGACGGCGCCGCCCCATTTGGGCGCACTCCTCACACGGTTCGTGGCCTCACAGGACGTTCCACCTAAGTCCCCCTGGCAGGGTCCGCATGGCGGCGCCGCCCCATCTCGTTAACCACTCGCACGGTTCGTGGCCCCATGGGGAGTCCACCGAAGGCCGTAGTGGCAGGGTCCGCATGGCGGCGCCGCCCCATTTTGGCGCACCCCTCACACGGTTCGTGGCCTCATAGGTAGCTCCACCGAATGCCCCATTGGCAGGGTACGCATGGCGGCGCCGCACCGATTTTGGCGCACCACTCTCACGTTTCGTGGCCCCGTGGGGAGCTCCACCGAAGGCCCCAGTGGCAGGGTCCGCATGGAATCGCCGTTCCGATTTCGGCACTCCTCGCGCTTGGGCCATCGTGGGCCCCCCTCCGGCTCATACCCTTCGCGATACTCGCGGCTGCATATTGTTGGGCCCTTCGTCAGGCTAATTCTATTACGTGTCCCAGAGCACGGAGCAGCTGAGGAAACATGGTTCGGGCGTAACGGAAGTACCTTTGGGCCGTGGTGAGTCGCGGGCGTTTTCAAAAGTTATAACCCGATTTGTTGACAAACTAAGAAGATCCGTACTCCCATGACTGGTAAATTGAAAATGCTGCAACCTTGCGAATTGCTTCGCTGTGGTGACGAAATCGAAAATGCTGGGTTGCTGAAGTCTGATCCTCGCAGCATGGTGGCCTCTACACGGGTGGCCAGCGGATTTGAGAACGGTTGAGAAAGAACCGGGAGCTCCTTGATGATGCAGTGGATACGGTGGAGGCGGTGGAGTCGGAGAAGGAGGAGTAACAGTAGCGGGGCGGGAGGAGGATGAGGAGGAGGGGGAGGAGGAGGAGGAGGAGGAGGAGGAGGAGGAGGAGGGGAGAAGGAGGAGGAGGAGGAGGAATAATAAGAGGAGGACGTGGCCGTCGGAAGGAGTTCGTCGAGTGGGTGCGGCCCAAGCCGATGAGGCGCCACCACATCGGCGCCAAGCCCTACAGGGCACCGCCGTTGACCGGCAAGGTGTGGAGGACTCGCCCGCAGGCGAGCGAGTCTGGGTTGTTTTTTCCGAGGAGCCTGAGGAGAACGACGAAGACTGAAAAGGGCGAGGACTTTAAACGGAGAAGGTTAAAGGCGAGGTATAAATCGAGCATGTACCGCTGCCGTGCCTGGCTCAAGCCGGGCCCGGCCTAATATGTGACTGTGCCTCACCGAGGCGCACTACTTGCATCAGAGATCGGAAAATCCCTTTTCCATTGACGATGCCCATCCTATCCTTTACTCCAGATCCCATGCTTCGTCTTGCTCTCTTGCTCATGCGATATGAGCCAAAGCCTGGGATATGGCAACGCTTAAAGCGTAACACATACCTAAGCTTACCAGCTTGTTTTCGACTTGGTAGCGGAGCTGGCTACACTCTCGTGTGGCTGGCTCTCGCTCTGATTCCTGTAATCCACGGCACAACTTGGTGGACTACTACTACGGTGGAATACCATGTTGCGCCGGCTCTGCGAGGAGCGGAGCCAGTCCGCGATCGAGCTAGCGGGGTAACCCGCGAACTCGAGACGCTATCTCCTACTTCACTGCGCTACTTCACTCCCGACTTCCACCAGATGCCAATCGGCAACTCGATCGAGAACGTGGTCACCCTGCGGGGCTACCCGCAGCGGGGCCACCTGCATCCCGTGCCGGTCAGGCGCCTCACGGCTACCACGCCAGGGCCTGACAAACCACAGCCCAAACCAATCACCGAAACCGAAATGCACATGCATTGGATCAAGATAACTATATTCGGCATTCTGTGGGTAGTAATGGGATGTGCTGTGGGATACATGCGGCAGGGGATGGACGACACGCGTACTACCGGCCCTTCATGGGACCCTGCCGGTACTACGCCTTTTCGCGAATACGTTCGCGAAGTACATGCATGGTTAAACGTAACGAGTGGAAATATGACACCACCACAACAAGCTGCAGCACTACAACGAGGCCTTCAAGGTCTGGCTCGTCGTATCGCCATGCAGGTCCCCTCCCAGATCATCAATTATGGTGTAACTGTCAATGGACAGCCAACGGATGCAGTAACCTACATACTGTACTTACTGAGCACCAAATTTGAAAATCTGGAAGATGAGCGCCAGCTCAACTCTGGCACGGCCCTTATCGACTTCCGCGTCGAAAGGGGCGAGCGAATCGACTCAGTATTAGCTCGATTCGAGATGGCCCGTGACGAGGCTAACTCTGTTGGCTTTGTCATCCCCAACTTTCAGATCCTAACGCTGATTCTCTTCAGAGCGTTAGGCGTTGGCGCGTCACGAGCCCAACACCTGCTTGAGCCCTTCAATCATCAGATGCCCCGAACACAAGCAGACTATGACAGGCTGCTGACCAGGATGAGGAACTACGGACATGTTGCCGAGCGCTCTCCTGGCAACATAGCGGGTATCTTCACAGGGCACCACTCACATGCAGGTGTTTACGCCACGACTGCGGGGTCACCCGCTGGTCCTGGCGAGCCAAATCCCTGGGCTGACCCAGCCGATATGCCCAACGAGGCCACTGCCCTTCTAGGGCAGACCGGCCAGGCATCGGCAGAGGCAGCTGAGGCGAACGCCTGGTCGAACTACTCGCCAGGCGCCGCCTACACTGCAAGCCCGCCCTCGGGCACAACCCTCTGGGGCCAAGCGGAGTCATCCGCTCAATGGTCTCAGCCACCCTCACCGTTTGAATCTGGCACTGACACAGATACCTCATCTGACGATGAGCACAATGGAATAGTCTCTGCTGGTAGTGACTACCCAGCGGATGACACTCACCTCTCTGAACAACAAAGGGCGGAAGCCGCCTTCATGGCTTATCGCAAATCAAAACGCCGTTGGAGGCGCTTTATGAAGAAACCAGTCAGAAAGGTGAGACGTGCAGTACGCCGACATTTCAAACGATTTGGAAAGGGTCGTGGTAAAGGGGGTCGCAGACGCCGTATGCATGGTAGGGGTATTACTGCTTTCCTCACGTCCTTAACTGATATGGCTTTTGAAGAAGTTCTTATCGGAGGCAAAGGTCGGGGTCACAGGCGGACCTCCGGTAAGGGAAAGGGGCGGAGGGGCAACCCTAGGGACGCTTCTGGCAATACTATGAAGTGTCACACATGCGGTAGCACAGAGCATTTGCGCGATCAATGCCCGAAGGGGAAAGGAAAGGGATCCGTACACTTGGCTCAAAATTCTTTTATGGATGACATAGATTACATTGACTACGAGTTTTACGTCAATCCAGAAGCGGCTCCCGCTGCGGGCTCCTCCACGTACTACGTGATGGCCCGCTACGCTGAAGCAACTGTGGCCCTGGAAGACTACGCGGTGACCCTCTTCGACGAGTTCCACGGCTGGGACGAGGTCGACGAGGTCGCGTACAATGCTTGGTTCGGTCTTCCAGCGGGGCCACCCGCCGGCGACGAGGTCTCCGAAGCCGAGACCGTCCCGGCAACAGAGGAAGAACTCACCGCCGTGCTGGCCCCACAAGTGATTGGCATGCCGTTGCTGCCAAATCCGTCGCGGGCTGGTTCGGAGGCGGGAGACGCCGATGACGAAATGCGGGGCCATCCCGCGTATTCCGATTCCGAAGAATCCGAAGAAGATTATAACGACATGCTCCAAGAACAGGTTTCAGAAGCAATTCGACTCTTGAGTGCGCCAGCACAGCAGCAGATGACGATGAACGAACTGCTGTCACACCCAGGAGTTGCCCGTCTACGTCCATACTTGGATTCGAACATGTCAGCATCTCAGATGCTTACAGCACTCCAAGCTCTAGCGGGGTCACCCGCCGAAGAGATGCCAGACACAACAGCGGGGCCACCCGCTTGGTCTATGGATGTATTCATGCAAGGTTGTGATCAAATGGACATTAACGACCTCTCGATGGAGCAGTTAAATGACATCGGATACTTCAGAAGCCCTTATCAAAACGTGTTCATGGTCCAGGACAGCTCAGAGGACTCGGAGGACATGCGCTACGCCAAGAGGGACAGGCGACCGTCGCCTCCCCGAGACTCAGAGCATGACGATCAAAGGCCAATGACACGTGGTAGTGCGTCAGCGGGGCCAGCCCGCGGAAGTGCGTCAGCGGGGCCAGCCCGCGGAAGGAGCCGCTCAGCTCCTAGACGCCCTACGCATGATGAATCGGGCTATCCATACAGCACTGAGCACTCCGTTGGAGTATCTGCTCAGCAGGTGCCGGATTGGTACATCAAATGGTACCCCGGCTACTCTATGGATACTCTTCGGCACTGGTATTCTAAAGAGTACTGCACCAAAAGGGACGAAACTGGCGCGATAATCCGTACCAAGGGCTGCAAGACCAAGACGCCAGAGGCTTGGGACAAAAGGGCGAAGAAGCAGGAGATCATCACTGACCGCAAGACATACAGAAAACAAGTATGTCAGTGCGAGCCCTTCAAAGGCCACATGCGCAGGTGTCCGATGGACCGCCCTTCCAGGAGCCCTCATCACGGAGAGACCCCGTGGAATTGGTCTCACGGAGATGACGCTGGTAACGTCCATGATCCGAACAAGGAGGTTCCTGGAGGAGGAAGGCGCATCACCGAAGCCGATCGCGTCCCTATGACCGAAGAGGTGGCCAACACCGTCAGGGAAAATTGGGCAAAGCTTCCCAATGACCACCGCCTCAAGGAATGGAACCGCCGATTCCATAAGGAGGCGGGGTCACCCGCAGAATCCAGCAAGGAAGCGGGGTCACCCGCAGAAGCGGCACCAGCCGCTGGATCTGCGGACGACGAGTGGATAGATGTTGCTTCTGCAGCCGGGTCCGCCGCCGGCACTGACCGCACCGAGCTAAATGAAGAATGGGCGGCGGAAGACGGCTCAGATAATCCATTCCCTGACGGAAGCGCCTGCTGGTACTACAGCTCTTCGGCGCAGAAGTGGTTCTGCACGAGGGTACTCTACCGCCATGAGAATGGCAAGTACAAGCTGGCCATAAAGGGTACTGCCGACATCGACCAGATGAGGCAGGTCATCCATGATCATGGCCAGCCAGAAGGCCCTCCTAGAGACCCTCCTGGTCCACGACCAGGCAAGAGCAGCAGACCACCGCCAAGACCTAAAGCCGACTCCTCGTCTTCACCGACTCCTGCGAAAAGGCAACCGTCCAAGAGCCCCGAAGGCACACGTGAGCGGGCGAAGGCCAGAGGGATTGCCAAGACGGACGATCTTGAGCCGGCAGGTCCTCCCGGTCCGTCCGTGACAGAGAGGAAGAAGGCTTTTGCTGGACCATCGACCCCGATGCCGCCGGCGACCCAAGGCGATGTCAAGGACGAAGCTCGCGACAAGCCTAAGGCAGCGTTCCGAGGTGACTGGACTCCAACACTGCATCAGCCACGCCTTGCACCACGACCAGGTTCGGCACGAATGAAAGCGCAGCCGAAGCCCGAAGCTGGGATGAGGTCGGTGCGGGCAGAAGCGGCCGCCAAGGCTAAGGAGGACAAGGGCTCTGCGGGGCCACCCGCTAAAGCGGCGCCAGCCGTAACAGCGGGGACACCCGCAGAAGGCACTCTCTCAAGAGAAGAACGCTTCAGAGTCCTCAAAGAGTTTGGCGACCAACAGAAACTAACCGATGATGCAACTGCTGACAAAGGTCACCCGAACCCTGGCGCGGAGTCATCCGCAGGAGCTGCCTCGTCAGCCGCCGGCTCTGGAGGGCCACCCGTTAAAGCGGCGCCAGCTGCATTAGCGGGGCCACCCGCTAAAGCGCCGCCGGCTGCACTAGCGGGGCCACCCGCACAAGGGCAGCCAATAATGTCTGTTCTCAGGAACATCCCTTTGGGAGCCATCGAATACTGGCAAGGCATTGTCGGCAAGGGCCCGAAGCGCACCATAAACCCACGAGTCACTCCAGACGATACGGACCGATACGATGTCATTAATTGTCCGGTTCGTCGTAATTTCAAGTGCCACAACGACTGGGAACGTGAACAACAGACCGTGGGAAATATGCTGCGAGACAGGCCGCCACTACGCGTTGCG